TATTCGGGACGGCTTATACTCGAGTATATACGGTAAACATATCGATACTTAAAAAACCCTTCAAGTGTGTGCCGGTGAAATACTTTTATTTACTAGTAGCATTGCACCTCATCGCACTGTTGAAAGGTAGGTCTAGTTTATAAATATAATGTAACCTTTTTATCACATTGTTCCTATTTAAAAAAACCTTGTGTCTTTTTGTATAGTTTATAGTTCTAAATGCACAGCCATTTTTTTCAGCACCACAGGCCTGCCAAAAATGGTCTGTTGGACTAAAAGTCATAGACTGTTTGCAGTCTGTAATGATGTGAAAGACCAACAATGCTACTGGTAGCCAGAAATTACAAACAAAATATGGTTCAAGCTTCCTTTCAGCTATGCAGTGTTACTTATCTTTTAAGAGATATTTATTTTAACCCAAAAAAAAGTGTAATTGGTTACATTTTGAATTCAGGATTCAGTCATTTCAGTCCAGCAGTTAATATGGAACATGAGCTTCCATTGCTCAAAACATTGAAAAGGCTCATACAATTTATGATGCTGGCTGTATTACTTTTTTCGGGGCACTGGCGGCCTGGCTCCTGGGATTTGTCCAGCTCTAATAATATCAGTAATTAGAAAAAAGTAAAGCAAACAAGCGCTAAGGTTAGAACATGGTGACATAGTTTTATTTTATGCTGGGTATAGCATTTTGCAACAGACCAAGTTCAAAAACAGTACTGTACCCTTCTATACACACACAGCATGCTGATGAGCAGTCTGTGTAATAGAGGCAGGAGCCAGAAATAAGTTTATTTCTCCAAATCTAAAATGAACAAGCGTATAAAAGTAGCAGCTCTTTTTGTTTGTTTTAATGAGATGTACATTTTATATAGTTTGTATAGTTTAAGGGTTTGCATTCCCCTTTGTTCACAGTTTACAATGCTAAGCATTCGATTCTATAAGAAAACTAATGGCTGCTGGGACATCTGCAAACAATGTCCACAATGTCACATTGACATTCTGAGTTTTATTGTCTGCCTCTTACATTCACTCATCATGGTGTATATCCTGAGTTCAGTAAAAATCTGGTGTATATCCACAGGTTTATATCCTGAGTTCAGTAAAAAAAATCTCTAGTCTCAATACTCTGTCAGTATGACGAGTGTATAGTAAATGTGATGCACTTGAAAACAGTTGACACATTTTTATTTTATTAAGTTGCATTGATTAGCTTTCTTTAAAGTTACAAATGCAGTTTGTTGGCTCATTATAGGAGCTTCTGCAGCATTGTAGTTCTGAAAAAGTATAGTTATCATGCCAGACTATTACGAGTGAAAACATCACATTCACACCCCCTTTTCCATTGGCTGGGACAAGGGAGGCCGTTGCTTAACTTTTTTCTTCTAAGACACATGACTGTGTTTACGTCAGTAAAATGAAGTTTGCGTTTGATTGTTATCTGATACTGTTTGTGACCTTCCGTCATGCTGACATTTCAGGTTGTGTGTTCTGCCCTCAGCTGAAGCTCTAAATTCACATGTAGTCATTTAAAAATCAGCTGCTTTGTCGTAACATTAAACATTTACTTCTGCCTTTGTTAAATATGATGACTCGGCCTCTTAAAATCAATTTAATATTGACTTCCCCACATAGACAATATTTAAAGGTTTTACAATTGATAGTCATACACGTATGCTGAAAAATAAAAGTTCTGTCCCTGTCCAAATTCTGTTAGCTCATGCACATTTTGCATGCTAAGATTTCATATGTGCAATACTAATTTGGTCACTGTATAGAATTTTACATGAAGTGTCAAGCGGCAATATATTCAGAATGCTTGCCTTGATAAATGTGAGTTAATTTTAAAGTTTCAACATTTTTAGCGTTTAAAACCGTTTGAAAATGAAACTGACGCACACAAATTGCAACTACAGGCCACCACAGGTTGTCCATGTGCATACTTTAAGGCATGGTTCCCACCTGGGCGTTTTACAGCGTGTAGGAACGCGCTGTAAAACGCCTTGCGCACAAAGAAGTACAGGAGCTTCTTTGGGGCGTATTTGCCGCACGTATCCATTAGGATACAGCCGGATAGCACTCAGACGCACGTTTGTCGCGCGTTTCTTTTACTGCAAATCGAGCTAACAACGTGCGGCAAACGCGCATATTCCGTACGCCCAGGTGTGAACCCAGCCTTAAGTGACAGTAAAGGATAATTCCCTCCCCCCTTGCTAGTGTAAGGACTTCTCTTAAATGATGCCTCTTGATCCGATCATCTTCTTTCCTGTAGTTTTTCAGGAGTCCCTCCAGCACTGGTGCCGGTCTCTGATCCAGCGCTGAATGCTGTGTTGTTTGTGTCCCACCGAGTCTGTGCGGGTGCACGCTGCCAGGCTGCCTGCATTGGTGGGTTTTTTTGTTTGATTTTATGTTTTTACATATAACTACTGCTTGCTAGCAATAGATATATGCAAAAACCGCTTAGAGTTTAATTATCCTATAAGGCCTCGTTCACATGGGTGGTGAGGGGGCTCTAAAACCGCACCGCTGATGTGCAGTTTTACAGCGCCTGCTGCAATGTCAGCACTGCAGCTGCACAACTCTGTATACATTGCCACAGTGCTTTTACAAAAAAACAAAAACCAGCATGTCACATTATCTCTTTACTGTGGGGTCTATTTATAAGCTATGAAACAAAGTAGATGCCAGCTGCACACCATACATCGCTAGAGTAGGTGGGATGGTGCTGGCAGTGACGGCAACGGATGGCACAGTGCAGGATCTGTTAGGCGATAAGTTGCCAGCACTCAATGATTGAGGTTAAAACCTAGTCCCATTTGATTTTAGTGCATTGCATATGTCAGCCAGACAATATTTTGGGGCCTCATGGGGACTTTTTGTCAATGCAGCATAGTGGCGGGACAACTACATTTGCATTTTGAATGATTGAGTCCTGATGACTTATCTTCTATTTATAAACTACTTGCAGGGTCGTTCACCCTGCAAATATCTGCGAATGTTCATTCTGTGTGGATATATGCCAAGCGGCTTTTAGCTCCATCTAGTGGCCATAATGCAATATTACATGATTACAAGTGGAACACATTATTTAATGTTAAAGGAGAACTATGAGGCGAGTGATTTTTCACTCAACTGCATAGTTCGAGATGACCTGTGACAATGAAACTGTCACAAGTCGGCTCTATAGATCGGGGAGTGAGCAAATGCATACCGTCCCTCGCTCACTCCCCGATCATCTCCCTGCAGAGAGCGGTGACTGTTGGGTCACGGCTACCCGCAGCGATTTTTTTTTTTTTCCCCCTCCCCGCTCCGATCCTCCAGAGCTGAATGGAGGAACGGATGGGGGAGGGGGCGAGCACAGCTGGCTCTGCCCCTAGATAGGCAGAGCCCGTTGTCACTCAAGCAGCTGGGTGGATCTCGACAGCATTGTCGGGATCCGTCCCGGCTGCGGTGATCTCGGTATATAGTGAGCAATAGCTCGCTATATACAGAGCTTTGGGTCACGGGGGGACGTTACCCGTGACCCTTGGAACTATAGGATAAAAAGGTTAACCCCATAGTTCTCTTAAGAAAAATTGTTTAAAGAACATTCATTTTGGCATATATTTGCACAAAACTTACATTCAAAGATTTTTGCATGGCAAAGGGCCCTGCAAATTGTTTATAAATAATAGATGAATAGGACACCGGTACTCCAAAATTGAAGAAAAGTACATCTTTTATTGACACATGTGCAAACCATCACATAACTGACATTTTGAAGTCACGCAGGATCCCCTTCATCAGGCAAAACTATGGCGTGACCCCGAAACATAGCAGTTTTGTGATAGTTTGCACAAATGCGTCAATAAAAGATGTACTTTTTTTTTTTCTTCCAATTTTAGAGTGCCGGTCTAATCATCTATATCTGGTACGGTGGCATCCGTTGGTCATCGCTGTACCCACGCTTACCATTAAGGGCTAGCGGTCAGGAGTGTGATGGGTACATGTACTTTTGTTTATAAATAGACCCCTATGTGTCATAATGAGCCTTTTATTTACAGAGATCAGTAGTTGAAAGTGAAAGTGTGGGTCACTCTTAAATAGTTTAGTAGTCAAAGACACTAAACTAATAATTTAATTTTCTATCGGAGACGGAATTAAAAGTAAAGTAAAAAAAAAAAAAAGTATAGACTCCTCTGTTGTTAAATGTATAAATGCCGAAATGTATTTACTAAACATTATTGGAAGGTGTCTGTGGAATCAAGCTTACACTTTTTTTTGGTTTTTTTGTCTTGTAGATCATGTACTGCTGAAGCTGAAAAGGAAAATGTTGGTAAGAGCTCTTATTTCTCTGTTGTGCTATTGTTGCTGTGAGGAGATTGTGTGAGGCATATTGATTGGGTTGATCATGCTCTGCAGCGAAGGGTCACAAAGCCTGTGTAATGATCACATATTGGCTTCAACCGACAACACAGATCAGAAGAGTATGTTCTCTGCTGTTCCAATTATGCTGAGAACTTTGCATGTACTCGCATGCTGAACTCCAATTACACATGTTCTGCATGACATTTTAAAATAGTAGCAACCCTGACCAGTTCCAGCTGCTTCTCTGCGAAGGCACCAGCAGCTAAGATGTAAACAGATGAGCTGGAAAAACCATTGGAGAGAGAAAATAAAACCTGTACAAAGAAATTGCAACTCCTTACAAGGTACATGGATTTGTTTGCTATTTAAAGCCCAATTCCAGTGTGAATTCCCTGCAGACTTACCTGGTCCAGCGCCAGTCAACTTCCTGTGAGAACAGAGCATTAAAGGAGAATTATGAGGCAAGTGATTTTCACTCAGCCTCATAATCTGAGCCGACCTGTGACCATGAAACTGTCACACGTCGGCTCAGTAGATCGGGAAGTGAGCGAACACATACCGTCACTCGCTCACTTCTCAATCTGTCCCTGCAGAGAGCCGTGACTGTCACTCACTGCTCCCTGCAGGGATCCCCCCCCTCCCCTGTCCGATCCTCCAGCGCTGACTGCCGGAACGGACGGGGCGGGCGCAACTGTCTCTCTGGATAGGCAGAGCCAGCTGTCAATCCCGCAGCTGGGTGGATCTTGACAGTAATGTCGGGGATCCGTCCTGGCTGCGGCATCTCGGTATACCGCGAGCTGTAGCTCCCTATATACTGAGCTTAGGATGACGGGAGGACACTAGTTTGTGTCCTCCCGTTACCCTCAGGAGAACTATGGGGAAAAGCCTTATCCCCATAGTTCTCCTTTAAATCTTAAAAATGCATTCTGGTACCTTAACTATTAACACATAAGTACCTTATTTGTGAATCATTAAGCCGTAGATCCTGAAATCATTTCTGAATTGGTGCTGACACTGTCCATCCTTCTGGAGGGTGGTTGCTTTTGTTCCTCATGATCCCTGTATGTGTGTTGTAAAGTAGCCACCGCTCCAAGCTCATTCCTGTGATGGAATACAATCTAATGTTTTACTTTACTAATTGTATTGTGCTTGTAGTCCATCACAGCTGTCAATCACGCAGCTGGGTGGATCCAGACAGTATTGTCGGGATCCGTCCCAGCTGTAGATTGCGCTATACTGAGCTTTGGGGTCATGGGAGAACGCTAGTTTGTGTTCTCCCGTGACCCTTAGGCGAACTATGGGGAAAAACCCCATAGAAGAATGTTGCAGAAAGTGGCACTCTGTCATTAAGTGATACCACCCTCTGTAGCCTTTAAGATCTGCACTCTCATAGGGAAAAGAGGGCTATATATTACATTATGTACCAAACTGCAGTAGTAACGAAGTGGAAAAATCCCTCCCCGTGGGTCAGCCATAACATTATGAGCACCCGCTTAATATTGAGGAGGTCCCCCTTTTGCCACCAAAACAGCCCTGACCCATGGACTCCACTAGACCTCTGAAGGTATGCTGTGTTATCTGGCACCAAGCTGCCAGTAGCAGTTCCTTTTTAAGTCCCATAAGTTGCGAGGTGGGCCCTCCATGGATCGAACTTGTTTTCCCAGCACATCCCACTCATTTTTGTGTTCCTCGAACCCTTTTTGCAGTGTGGAAGGTTGTGTTATCCTGCTGAAAGAGGCCACTGCAATCAGAGAATACCATTTCCATAAAGGGGTGTACTTGGTCAGCAAAAGGTAGGTGGTACGTGTCAAAGTAACTTCCACATGAATGGCAGAACCCAAGGCTTCCCAGCAGAACATTGCCCAAAGCGTCACACTGTCTCCGCCCACTTGCCTTTTTCCCGTAGTGCATCCTGTTGCCATTACTTCCCCAGGTAAGCCACGCACACCCGACCATCCACATGATGTAACGGAAAATGTGATTCATCAGACCGGGCCACCTTCTTCCATTGCTCTGTGGGCTAGCTCTGATGCTCACGTGCCCATAGTAGGCACTTTTGGAGGTGAACTTGGGTCAGCATGGGCACACTGACTGGTCTGTGGCTATGCGATGCATTGTGTTTTCAGACACCTTTCTGTCAGATCCAGCATTAACTTTTTCAGTATTGTGAGCTACAGTAACTCTTTTGTACTCGGCAGCAGGTCCCTGCGAAGCGAAAGAGTGTGTTGCGAGAGGTCAGCGTATAGTTGAAGTTTCGCATATTCCGCTGGTAGGGGGGGGGGAGAATAGCCTGGCAGCCTTCATAATGCGGTCTTTGACATGGTAGAAGTGTATGTGCATCAGGGTGTCCCCTGGCAACCTGTCGGTTAAGTGGGACGGTTTAGGTAGCCTGTGGATACGATCGATTATGAGGTCGGCGTCCGAACTGTCAGGAAGAATCGCTTTAAACATATTGTGCACAAATCCGGCCAGGTCAGACTGGTTAATGGATTCAGGGATACCCCTGATTTTGAGGTTGTTGCGTCATTACGATCTTCTAGATCGGCCATTTTAGATTTGAGCCACCCGTCTCAGGCGCTGGCCATGCCCCCCTACAGTAACTCTTTTTTTATTGGATTTGGACTGCATGAGCCAGCTCTCGCTCCCCATGCAAATCACTGAGCCTTGGCCATCCATGAACCTGTCTCCGGTTCACAGGTTTTCCGTCCTTGGACAACTTTTGGTAGATCCTGACCACTGCAGACTGGGAATATCCCACAAGAGATGCAGTTTTGGAATTGCTCTGACCCAATCATCTAGCCATCACAATTTTGGTCCTTGTCAAAGTCACTCAAATCCTTACACTTGCCCAATTTTCTGCTGCCAGCACAACTTCAGGGACAATTTTTTTTTACTTGCTGCCTAATATATCCCACTCACTTCCAGGTGCCATTGTAAGGAGATAATCAATGTTATTCACTTCACCTCTCAGTAGTCATAATGTGATGGCTGATTGGTGTATATTTTGATATCTGTAACTCAACTCCAACCCCAAAAAGAGGGGGTTTTAAATCTACTGATTGCTGTGTCATGCATGTTTGCTAATGTCAACATCTACTCTATTTAAAACTCCTGTACCAACACATATGTTATAAAGTCTTCCTTAACAGCATTTTATTCACAGACGTGAACAAGTCCTCGAAGAAATGATGCTTAGCGCTGTGTATCGTCCCTCTAAGGACTCCTATCCTTCTGAGCCAGACCTCAGATGGCAGTTTTAGCTCATATGTCTAGTATATGGCACATTTGTGTGTTCCTTAAGCCTTTTTTTCCAGGGTTTAAGTATTCACTCTCCAGACCTAACCATGAAATACAGCTGTATTATAACTTCCAAGGTCTCCATTCTGCCGAATCCTTTTTAAAGCCATTCTGAACTCGATTTGTTGGCGACTATTCCAATTGCCTACACTACTTTAATACTCTCCGTAGTCCAGTCGTGAAAAGATGTATTATTTCTTTGTTAGATTATGGCCTATTCTCCTCAGTGTTTCACAAAAAGAGAAAAAGAAATCCTATATTCATTTCTTCAAGGATGATGGTTAAAGAGTTTCAGAGCCTGACCATGAAATGTATTTCCTTTTAAAATGGTACAGCTAGCTCCAAAGTGAGGATTTTCACAAGTAATGCAATGCATAATAAGCAGAGCAAATTATAATAGTGGTAGATGCAGCAATTTGTCAGCATGTTGGGATATTTTTGTTTGAGCATGTAAAAAAACATAAGCTCTTTGGAACAGGCATTTCCTGTGAAATGACGTGTGTGTCTGTCTCTGTCTGTCTGTTACATGTATGTATAGAGAAAGAAAGGGGGGGAGGTTGCCGTAAGGTTGTACAAAAGGACCACTAAAGTATACATGAATGCCTTTTAACCGAAGGTATGTACACATACAGAAACCCATAAGCGGAGATAGCATGGGAACAAGTAAAACCATTTGGATGGTTTTCCTTCACGTCCTGTTCTGGAGACACACTAGGAAGTGAAGGAAAGTTTTCCGATTCCTCCTGTTCCGGTGACAATAATATATAATAATATACTGGTGGGACTTTCTCCATGCACAGATTCTGTTGATGGATCTGTGAATGGATGAGGTGACTGTGAGGGCAGAGCCATGCACAGCCACACTGAATTCAAATATCCACACCAGCCTGCGAGGAGAAGAACCCTGTGTTTCAGGTCAGGGAGTGTGAGGTGCGTGTGGCGTTGTGATCTAACGTGTTTCATGTTACACCCTGAATATGACGTATAACATGAAATGTGGTCCACAAAGTAAACCTAACATTTAAGCATAGATCTTATTGGCAGTGCTGAATGTCACCCTAAAGCGGAACTACACCCTCCTACCCTTTACAGGCAAAGAAGGGTGACATCTTAGCCTCTAATTGTATTTGATTTGCCATTGTGCTGCACATGTGAACAGCTATGACACCAGCCATTTGACCGCTTGAAAGTTCGGTTGAGAGCTGAAATAGGCACACTGACCTTCTCGACAATTGTCATGCCTTAAAAAAAATCTGTTTGGGAGACAATAAATTGGGGTCCCCTACTAAGATCTGTGTTTAACATTCCCAAACTGCAGCTGAAGGGTGCTTTAAAAGCGTCAACTAAGCTTTCTAAAAGCTCTGTAAAAGCTCACTGGTCACAGCTCTTATAAAAGTTGAAGCCTGTATGAACTACTAGACTAGGGGCAATGAGGTGGCCTTTCCCAGTATAGTCATTGGATACCCATTTTGTTTCCAATCATTGAACTTTTTAGTTACATATTGTCATATTAAACCAGGTTAGAACCAGCAGAACATGAATTTATTTTTTATTTTTTTTTAAGACCATAATCCTAGCAGAGATTGTTGCTTTGGGCACCAGTGTTTGTGTACCTACAACCTCCCGCAGGCTAAAGTGATGAAAATCTGATCCTGTAGAATATAACTGAAACGTATAGACTTTAGAACAGCTGCTACTTTTTGTGGAGTTTTTCTTTGCTAAAAGCTGTACTACTGACGTTTGTTTATTGGAAGAAAACAAATGCTGCTATATTCCCAATGCTCCCTAATTAAATATTGTACTTTTAAGAGCTAGTGTGAGCAAAATGCACACATTGTGCTAATGTCTGTTTGCTGCAAGCCTTCAGGGAGCTCAAATAAGCTGTAACTTCTTTAATTGTGGTTCATTGGATACAACCACTTGAAACTTTAATCTCCTGCTTATTTTATATTTCCAGTCTACACAAAACAAAAAGCGTTTATAATTTGTCTTTTTAATAAGCGCATGCTGTAATGTTGATTCAAACAGACATGTATAACATTGCCGCTTTAAAATCCATTTATTATATGTTATGTGTTTCTGCCACAGTAGGAGAATTAGATAGTTATTGATCGACTTTGCTTCTCAGAATTGTAAGCATTTATTGGAAAGTCCTGCATCTTGTCTAAACCCCTTAGGAGTTTCATAATCTATTTAAACAAAAACATGTATTTTCTTATGCTCCCTGGTAATAAATCTTTCAAGCAATGCATGGTAATTTTTGCCTTTTCTGATATGCTCCATTGCTCAAGTAATTTATAATGGAATGGATAATGGAATAGAAAAATGAAACCTGCACTTTTGTATGTGCCAGAGAGACTGGCAGTTTATTATATCACTGGCTGTGGTGCAAGGTTTGAAGGTATTGTTGCAAAAAGTCAGGTTGGCTAACTGCTATTCCTAGGGAAGGCTTAAGCCCTGCTTTAATAAATCACCCATTTCTGACTTGTCTCAGCCATGCACCAAGGGATACCGTGGAGTACTTTTTTGCAAGGGCATGAAGGAATGTGTTTCTCTTAATCACATCTGTGGGAACAATAATAAATTAACCTATGTCACTCCTTTTGACATCCCCATAATATGGCCAGTGCCAATAACCTTGTATATATCATGGCTGTTTATGGGTTAGTCTGCATTCCTCCATGTCAACTCTGCTCTTATATGCTGGTTGTTACCCAGCCTTGGAATGCATTCTTACAGGGCATGGCATTTTCTTTATATTTCTTTTAATAGGCTCTGTTGCGCAAGTACAAGTGCCTATGAAAATTATAATAATTTTCATAACTCTGATTACAAATCATATTAACCCTTGCAGTGGGGCTACCCCAGCACTTAAAGGGTTAAGTACTCATATTTTGGATTGGTGGTTTTAAAAAAAAGCTGTAAGGGTTAATAAAATGTTTCTGGAGTTGTTCTTTTAAAGCTGTTTTTTGTTAATGATTATTCTACCAGTGTCCCAATAGTGCTGTTTATACCTAAAGATAATTCATTTTGATGAAAATTCCTTTTGAATTGGATAGGTTCCCCTTAAAGACACTGAAAGGGCAGTATCTTCAAAGGGAACCAGTCAAATTTACTGGCCCGGCCCAGGAGTATATTCAGTACTGGAGACCGCTACTATCCAACTCTGTTGGGGGTGGAGTTTTGTTACTAACACAGGCACATATGCATACCTTATTCTGTTCAGATATATGCCCCTAAAAATGTACATGGCTTGTACATGGCAGTAGCAGCCCCTATAGCTGGATAGGTACCTCAACTAAGCCAAATGGTTTAGAAAGTTTCTCTTTAATGGGTCACATAGGACTATAAAGTGTAGTTTGCGACTCGGTCTTCTTTTAAAATATGACCGGGATGCTGCCTCTTGGACTGAATACAGTTCCACTGTGCTGGAGTACTGCAAGAAGGTATCTGACCAACCCTAGCTATTGTAATTCAAGAATATGGCATCTGACCAGCGGTTCTGCTGTTGGTTGGTTCATATGGTTGCATCTTGTACTAATATAAATGTTTTACAATTACATACGTCCGTTTTAATTCTACAGGAAAATGGCCACCTAATAAGGGAACACAAGGGCCACAGTGTTTTGCCTATGAGATCTTTCACAGCTTGGAAGGCTTTACATTGGAACTTGCTTTCTAATTGTTGATGATAAAAATATCTAAACTCTACATAGCAGCCCCATAGTTAGCTGTTTTCATGAGTGTGTGCACACTCACACAAAAATTCTGATTTGATCCTGTGAGCCACATGTAATTTTGCAGTATCTTATTAGTAGGCATCAAAGGCTATAATATTTGCATCAGTGCCATATACTGTATGTGTATTTTAACGTATTGGTGTTTTATTTTCAGGTGCTGTGAAGCGAGAGAAGAAATACCAAGTACAGCCTGGCTTTGGTGACCGACGTGGCGGTGTCATTAGTGCCCGAACATATTTTTACGCAGATGAAGCAAAGTGTGACCATCACATGGAGACCTTTTTAAAATGTATTGAAGCATCAGGTATGATTTAAAGCCCGGATCTGAAAACCCTACTGATGTGTGTTCTGTTCCTTTTTTATGTGGTATAAACTTTGTTATGGACAAATGTATAGCTTCACCTTTGTAAATTAATCTCTGTAGGGGGAATTTATCAATGTTGCATAATCAGCAGCTCTCAAACTGTTGTATCCCTTATTTCTAGTGCACAAAGCGACAGATGTATTATCTTAGTTTGGTCTATTCCTAAATGCCTTCATAAGGAGGCTCGTCTCAAAACTGTCTGGTGGGAATTAATCTAGAGCTTGCACTATTTTCCCGATTGCGCGTGATTTGCACGTCTTTTGCGTCTTTTGCGGAAGTTTGCAACTGTTTACATCTGCACTTGTCCTGCGCTGTCTGAAACTGGAGCGTCATCTAATAAAACACTCGCTACTTGAGATGTCCCCAAGACCACTTCTAGAAGCGACAGTTAAAGGGGTTCTAAACCCTCCGTTTTTTTTTTTGCATATATCTACTGCTAGCATGCAGTAGATATAGGCAAGAAGTGTAAACAAAAAAAAAAACGCTTAAAATAATTTTATTCTTACCTCGTTATCGCTGCTCGCTCCCAAGCCGAGAATCAGGAACTGCTCGTACGGCCACAAAGGATCTTGGGGCGGGCGCATGCGCAGTTCCGATTCTCGGCCGGGAGACGAGCAGAGACTCAAGGTAAGCCTATGGACGCGTGCCCCCGCCTGCAGACACCGCTGGATTGGAGGGACAGAGCAGTCAGCCCTGGATCGGAGTGACGTCACACCGCTGGAGGGACACATGAAAACATGGGGAAAGAAGAGGAAGATCGGAAAAAGAGACATCATTTAAGGTAAGTGCTAACATTTACATGGGGGGGAGGGAAAAAATGTTTTGCCTTTTTAAGATCACTTTAAGCTTTTTGCCTGGAATTAAGAGTCTTCTTTCCTGGAGTCTATTTAATATAATTTATGAACAGCTTTACACTACCAACATATATCCCGGTGTAACTATAGCCCATGCAACCATATGCGAGATTAAACGCTCACAATTGCTATGATACCCCCTTTTTCTATTTTTTTATGTCCTCTAAATTGTCTCTAAACTGTCACAAGCTTGCTGGGAACCTCCTGGTTGACAGCTGAATAGCCTGAGGTGCTCTGCTGACTTGAGGGTATGAGTCATCTTTGAGATAGTTCAAGAAGTGCTCAGAAGCACTTCTAGGATGTGCGTCTGTTTGGAGGCCTTTTTACTGTCGCAAATGCTGTACACAAATACTGCACAGTTGAAATATGATGCAAACATTGTCGCAAGAACACTTAAAAAAAAAAAAAATATGCACGGCAGGCACAAAACTTTGTGGTTAGTTAGCATGACATTTGGATCTTTGCTCCTACAATTGTTGCAAATGCATTAATAAATTCTCCCCAATCGCTTGAAAGTTGCATAGGCTAGTATTAAGGACATATTCCTGGTTTGTTAGAGATGCTGTGTAAGCATGCTGGTTTTTTTTGCCCTAAACCTGGGGCATTTACAGTATACAGGTGCTCTCTCTGGTCTGTTAGAGCTGAAAAAGCTTGCTCCATAGAAACCATGCTAAACCTATAAAAAAACTGACAAATAACAACTGATTGTGGTTCTGCCTGTGGCCTCAGATCAGCAGATTGTGCACTTGTACTTCTCTGGCTGGTAATATGTTTGGGCCTAAGGCATAGGCCCAGCAGTTCATTATCTAGTTTCTTTTAGTTTTCAGGGTTACTTTGCCATTACAGGGTTTAATATTAAGGGTTGGAGTTCATGTTAAGGGTTAGTATTAGGATAATTGCTTTTGGTTACATTTTTGTTGGGTAAAAGGGGTTTAAAGTGACACTAAACTTGGGAGCTAAATCTTAATACATTCAAGTACCTTTTAACTATTAACACAAACGTATCTTATTTGTTTCTCTTAGCTGTAGATCCTCAAATCATCTCTGAATTCATGATGACACTGTCCTTCCTTCTGGAGGGTGGCTACTTTTGTTCCCCATGGTCCCAGTGTGTGTTGTAAAGTAGCCATCGCTCCAATCTCTCTCCCGTGATGGGACTATAACCTCAATACAAATTAGTAAACTAAACATGAGATTGTATTCCATCACAGGAGCAAGCTTGGAGCGGTGGTTACTTTACAACACCCCCAAGGATCATGAGGAACAAAAGCAGCCACACTCCAGAAGGATGGACAGTGTCGGCACCAATTCAGAAATTATTTCAGGATCTATGGCTTAATGATTTTCTAATAAGGTACTTATATGTTAATAGTTAAGGTACCAGAATGCATTTTTAAGGTTTAACTCCTGAGTTGAGTGGCACTTTAATTCTAAGGTTAATTGTTTTTGGATTAGTTTAACTGTTAAAGATTATTTTTCAGGGTTAAAATAGGTTAATGTGGACCTTTACTCAACAGTAAAATTTGTGGTGTCGGAGAACATTTAGAAATGCTAATTGTGGCTGAGTAGCACACTGAAAAATGTTATCTTTTTATCTTGAGGTTCTCCTGAAAATAGCAGTTTACTTTTTGCTATGCGAGTGAGCCTAGGCATTCCTGTTCTTTAGCCTCATAGCTATATAGCTGCACTGTGCATCTAAGTCAGTGCTGCTACTGCTGTCCCAAGATATTTGGAGTTAGATGTGATGTAATTACTGAGCTGCTCACTGTTCTCTTTGCTGTATTTATTATTTAAAATGTTTTGCCTTTTTTTCCGCACTTTTATTTTTTAAATTGTATTATTTTGTATTTTTTTTATCACTTTATTTTTCACTTGGCCCCAATGTGATATCATTTGGAGGTGACAGCTGATGCAGGCAGCGCTCCTGTGTCACTGATCACAGAGCAGATCTCTCTCGGGGGGATGCAGGCTGCTCTACAATTGATCTGGGCAGATCACTTGTACTAAACAAGCAGCCAGAAGCTATTTAAAAATGTAATGCATCGCCGCGATGCATCTGCATTTTCACAAGTACAAGTACTCATGCAAATGCTCTATCAGCACCGATACTAGTATCGGTGCATTCCTAGATTAGTGAAAGGGATAATTTAGTGTTAGGGTGAGAAGTGCTAAGAATAGATAATTGTTGAAGAAAAGACAAACATTCACATTTTGTTTTTTGGCCTTGAACGCCCATATCCTGCACCAGATAAATGTGAAAGATGTCACCAGCACACCGAAGATCCTTTTGGAATCGCCAAATGCTAATTTTATTGAACAAGCTGTCAGAATGGATACAAGCGCTTTCTGGACCTCGCAGCGTCCCTTCATCAGGCTTCAGCATTGGTCAATTCCAAAATGATCTTCGGCGTGCTGTTGGCATCTTTCACATTTATCTTATGCATACAGCGGTGCCATCCTCAGTCATTACGAGCACACTTCCCATTACATGGGATCTCCGAAAATGTGCGACAAGAACCTTTCTACTTATCCCATATCTTGCACCAGATACTTGGCTCTGAAAACTGATTTTGAGGTTGAAAGCATTTTCATTGATGATTTTTTGTATTTTGTTCTCCGTAATCCTGTGACTCATACCTTTTTTAAGTGTTGCTGTTGAAATATATACATTTTTCTTTTTGCCGACTTCTTAATAGGATTGGCATAAGCATGACATGTTTGTTTAGCGATATTTATCCATTGTACAGTATAGGAGCATACCAAGTTGATTTATTGAATTTGAATCAACACCGTTCAAATCGGGTGGACATTTTTTACCGACACGCTTTAATATACATGACGTTCCCAATCTGAGCCAGAATCTAAATATGCATTAGGAATACATGCACAGCTCTTACAATACTGTTGAGAAATATGCATCTCTGAATCTTATGCTGTCTAAAAAGATTCAGCATTTGTTATTTTACACACCATTTTACATAGTAACTTTTTGGTTTGTGGTAGCCTTTCAAAAGCACTTATTTATAGAGAATGATTCCTCTAATTTATTTAAATGTGATGTTCTACTGTAATGCGGTACATTGTGTGGCTGAATGGACAGGCTTGCTTGATCTGGAACTCCAGCTGGTATTTATTTGTTCTGCCTTGCATTTTCCAGCTGAAACGAAAGTGCACAGTGTGGAGCTAAATAACATCTCTGCAAGGAGTTTGGATGCACTGTGTTACTATTTATTCCTTGAGCAATTAATGCATGCTTTTTTTTATTATTTGTTTTCTGCTGAAGAAATGAAAGTAAGATGATGTTCAAAAAGTAGAAAATTAAGGCTGGCGACCAATTTTGTTTTTTTTCTAGTGAGAAAAAAGTAATAACATTGTGATCTGCTCTAGATAACCGTTTAAATAATTAGATGTATTTAGAGCATAAAGCAGTTATTTCTCTTTTCTTTGTTTTTAGTGAAGCTACATTAACTTGCT